TTTTGATGCCGTGGATTCTAAAGGTTGTTTTGTGCGACGCCAATAACTTCAGGGTTACGTTTACGTAGTACTGGGTAACAGTGAATGAAGTCAATGTTTTTGGAACGGAGATGATTTTCGATTGTTTCTTTATTACATGGGCCAACGTTGCCCACGTAAAATGTTCTCTTCTTAACAATAATTTTAGAGGCTTTTAAGGCACAATTAGTGCCCGTGCCATACATTTTTAACGGTTTCTTAGATATAACATTGCTGTTAGAAGCTTGGTGTTGTTAAAGATTTTGAGGTTGGAGGTTTCGCCATTTTCGCAATGTATATATATATATATATACCGGCATATTTTATAACGCTTTAAAAATAAAAGATGTTTTGTTACATGCAAATTTGAAAAGTTGACAGCAAGTAATGGCAACCGATCGTTTACAACTTTGCCAAGAAAACAATGGGCAATACAAGATACTACAGATAATCCGACGGGGGCAGTTAAAGTTTTTTGGTCACATTATGCGGAAGGAAAGAATGGAAAATCTAACAACTACTGGAAAGATTGCAGGGAGAAGAGATCGCGGTCAACAACGAATAACATTCGTGAAGTCCTCGTGTCACTTGTTGAATATCACTATATTTAAATTCTTACGAAATGTTTAAGATCGGGTTTGGGGGAGACCGATAGTCGCCAATGTCCTGAAAGGATAAGGCACGAGAAAGAAAACTTATATTAAATTTGACAAAACAAGAAACATAACGGAATAAAGTTAACATTTTATTTACACGTGAATACCATTTTAACATCTAAAAAACTCGTCAATCACATAACTTCCATTCAGTTTTCCAGTTTTAAAAATCTACCCAAAACTTTCAAATTCTTCATAGGCATTAAAAGCAAGTAGAATAAAGACATAACGATCGTAACGCAACGATTGTTTCATTCGTTAAATTACTATTTTTACAAAAAAAAACAGAAGAAACTGTCAAAAAATAAGAAATTAACAAACAAAATGTAACAAAAAGGAGCAAGCAAAACATAATCATCTAATCTTTCCAAAAAGTTTAGATGCATTCAGCGTCTTTGGTACCACACGAATCGTCATAGAGATCCTAGCTTCCGCTCTTTTCAAATCTTTACCATAAAAATCCGGACCCAAATTCAAAACTTTATCGTCGATGTGGTCATTAGTCGTATCCCTAATCCCGTGCAAGTAATTAGTGTAGGCCTCGGAGCGGAAAATTAGTAAGCTTCTCCTTTTTAAATATAACGAACCAACCCGTCTGTCGGCCATTTTCGATCTTTCTGTAACGTTCTGATGAAAAATTGAAAGAAAACAACAAGGTTAAACATTCACATGGTTGTTGGAATTAAAGAAAAATCTTGCACGCACACAAACACGCACGCACATACACACGCACACACACACACACGCACACACAGTGAATAACTTACTTCTGCATCATAATTAAAATTAAAGTAACTCCTATCCACAGAGCTTTCTTTATTATTATTATTATTGTTATTGCTATTATTATTATTATTATTACAACCAATGTTTTCAGAGTCAAGTTCATCAATGTCATTGTTATTAATATCGTTAATACTACTACTACTACTACTACTACTACCGCTACTACTACTACTACTACCTTTATAGTTGTTATTATGATTATTTCGACTACTACTACCATTAGCGCTACCACTACTAATACCATTACTGCTACTACTACTACTGCTACTACTACTACTACCAATACTATTCTGGTGCGAATTGAGTACTTGAGTACCACTACTACTAATACTTTCTTGTTGGAGGTGATGATGATGATTGTGGGGGCGATAGAAGTCGATTAGGAGGTTGGAGGCCAGGGATAGGATGCAGACGGTGGGGTAGTACAAGGGACCGTCTGTGTGTGGCTTGAAAAAGAATTTTTAGAAAGTTATTTTTCCTGTTCATACATTGATTAAAGTTTAAGCTTTTATACAGTTTGAAAATGGAAAATTACATTTTAAGATACTCAATAAATGAATGATTGATTGATCATCTGATCAATCAATCAATCATTCATTTATTCAATCAATCAACCAGTCAACCAATCAATCAACCAAACAAAATGGTATATTACAAACTTAACTTTAGAATGAAACATTTTTAAATCAATCGAAAAACTTAAGCTGAATGGATGAATGAATGAATGAATAAATGAATGAATGAATGAATGAATAAATGAATGAATGAATTCATGGATAGTGAATTCACCATAATTCCCTGGCCAGGTAGATATTCATTGATCAAAACATGGTTGGGAGTTTTTCCTCCGTATAAACCAAGAGAAGCCAATCTGGAACATTGTTCTGCCAACCACTGTTTAATTAATTAATTAATTAATACATTCATTCATTCATAAATTAACCTAATTATTAAATTAAAAAAGGAAAAATTAATCAATCCAATGAGTTTTAAAAAATTAAATTAAATTTAAAAAAAATTTTTTTTTTCATCATCGTCATTATTAATTAATTAACATCAATCTGAAACACATTTTTGATTGGTGACTACCTGAATGAATGAATGCATGGAAAGATGAGTGAATTGACGAATGGATGTATGAATGTATAGATGAATATTGTCATTTCACATCAAACATATATTTAACAAATTTAACCAAAAGTAATTGAATTAAAAAGACAAAAAAAATGATTTTGTTTAAAATTTTAACAAATATTCTTAAAAATAAAATTTATTTAAAAAAAATTACACAAAAAAATGATTACGGACATTAGGTAACTTCTCTTCAACCATCCCTTTAATGTGAGGAGTGCCACCTGTAACAAATTATAACTATCATAATTTTTAAAATCATTAAAAATAATTTCTAAAAATAATTATAAGAAATTCGAGAGAGAAAAAAAACAATACAGAACTTCTCAGAAATCTCACAAAAGCAGCCAGCACATGTAAATATGTAAGGATCTTTCTGCTGCGTTTGAATCAGAGCTCCGCGAAAACAGTGCCAGCCATCATAACCATCACACCACCAATTCACTCGAAAACAATTATAATAACGGTTATAATTTTATAATATAACCTCACCCCAATTTTGAAGCCTTCGATGAGACAGTTGGGTCCATCTTGTCTTGGAGACATTGTAAATTTGAGACAAAAGTTCTCCCTCGCAGATTTCACTGACGTAATCTGGAACGTAATACACTTCCAAGGGTAGCTAAAGGTAAGAGGTAAACTTACGTTTAAGTTTTAGTAATTAGTTAGGCAAAGTAATTAGTAGATTAAAGTAATTAAAGTAGACTAAGGAAGCACTAAGAAAGAAGTAATACTAGTTATCTAGACCCCTTTAACGAGGAAGTCTTCCAACTTGATCGTCGTCCCATTCATTTCTGTTTACTTAACGTTTTTTGCAGACACTAGCAAATTTAAGGAAAAAATATATCCAATAACAATATAACATTAACAATAATATATATATATGATGATGGTGATGTCGATTTTTAATTTTTAATTACCAAATTGAATAACAATTAGAAAAAATTAAAATTTTAACATTTTTAAATAAAAGCAATATTCCGTAATTAGTAAATATACGATCGTAACTTTGATCATGTAACTAGAATAAATATAACGGCCTTCGCTCACTTTTAGCGGTCTAACAAGGAGCTTACTTCAGTATATTTATTTCGGAATATTTCTTTTATTTAAAATGTTTTAAAAGGTTTTAAATTTTTTAAAATTATTCTTCAGTGTGTTAATTAATTTCTTAAAAAAATAAAATCGACATTACCGAAAATAATTAAAAGTTGAAAAATTGGAGGTTCTTTGCGTATCACTGCTTCAACCCATACGAAAGTATTGTATATTGGTAAATAGGCCTCCCCTTTCTTTTTACTCGAACTATTAAAAATCACCTTCCAACTCCCCTCCGAAAGTAAGCTCCTTGTTCGACCGTTGAAAGTGAGCGAAGGCTGTAATATTTATTCTAGTTAATATGTATCAAACAGTATCTTATTGAACAAAGTAGTATCATAAAAGGAATAAAGATACTTTTTTCAAAAATTAAAAAAATTCTCAATTTGATTTCATTTCGGCATCGATGATGATGATGATTGTGACCTAATTAAAAAGCATCAAATAAAATTTATGGCTGAGAAATCGTTGGGGGGAAATGACGTCATGTTAACAGTAGTTATTTAACTGCATGGTAGTTAATCAGCCGGTATAAAGGTTATATTCAATTCCTATCAAATAAATTTGACCAAATATCATACGCATGCAGACCTAAATAAAGAATCAAATAGATAGATATAATATATACGTAGTTATAATACATTTATAATGTTGTATTTACACATTCAAATTGTACAATTGTGTTATGGTGTGGTCTCAAATTATTTTGAATTCTCTCAGAAAAATTTAAACTTTTTACTTATTAGTTACTTTTATCAACAATTTAAAAAATATTTTCAATGTGATTTCATCGTGATATCGATAATGATTTTTGTGACCTGACTGATTAAAAAGCATCAAAGAAAATTTTAAAAATAGGATGGAGATTTTGTTACATTGAGATATTCGTATATAGAGCAAGCAAAATTTTAATATAAAAGCGCTTATAAATCTACGCATATTGGCTCAGCTTGGCTTGGCTTGACTTGGCTCGGCTTGGAATCGGATGTTAAGCAAGGTGTGGTCTCCAACTATTTTGAATTCTTCCCGAAAAATTTGAACTGCGTGCATACATATACAGCACTGATTACTGTTGCTTTTACAATGAATTTATATTATATATATATATATGTATATAAATTCTCAATTGGATTTTATTGCCACATCGATGATGATGATTGCGACTCATGGGTATATATAACATATCCATGTTGTGACTTGACTAATTAAAAGAAATCAAAAAAAAAATTTATTAAATAGGATGGGTAATTCGTTGCGAAATCGTTGGAGAAAATGACGTCATGTTATTTTACTGCATGGTAGTTAATCAGCCGATATAAAAATTTAGACCAAATATCATACGCAGGCAGAACTAAATGAAGAAATAGATAGATAGATAGATAGATAGGTAGGTAGGTAGGTAGGTAGGTAAGTAGGTAGGTAGGTAGGTAGGTAGGTAGGTAGGTAGGTAGGTAGGTAGGCAGGTAGGCAGGTAGGCAGGTAGGCAGGTAGGCAGGTAGGCAGGTAGGCAGGTAGGCAGGTAGGCAGGTAGGCAGGTAGGTAGGTAGATAGATAGATAGATAGATAGATAGATAGATAGATAGATAGATAGATAGATAGATAGATAGATAGATAGATAGATAGATAGATAGATAGATAGATAGATAGATAGATAGATAGATAGATAGATAGATAGATAGATAGATAGATAGATAGATAGATAGATAGATAGATAGATAGATAGATAGATAGATAGATAGATAGATAGATAGATAGATAGATAGATAGATAGATAGATAGATAGATAGATAGATAGATAGATAGATAGATAGATAGATAGATAGATAGATAGATAGATAGATAGATAGATAGATAGATAGATAGATAGATAGATAGATAGATAGATAGATAGATAGATAGATAGATAGATAGATAGATAAATAAAGAATCAAATAGATAGATATATTATATACGTAGTTATGATACATCTATAATGTTGTATTTAAACATTCAAATTGTACAATTGTGTTGTTGTGTAGTCTCAAATTATTTTGAATTCTCTCAGAAAAATTTAAACTTTTTACTATATAGGTACTAGTTACTTTTATCAACAATTTTTAAAAAATTTTCAATTTGATTTCATCGCGATACCGATAATGATTTTTGTGACCTGACTGATTAAAAAGCATCAAAAAAAATTTTTAAAATAGGATGGAGAATTTGTTATATTGGGATATTCGTATATAAAGCGAGAAAAATTTTAATATCAAAGCGCTTATAAATCTACGCTTATTGGCTCGGCTTGGCTTGGCTCGGCTTGGCTTTGAATCGGATGTTAAGCAAGGTGTGGTCTCAAACTATTTTGAATTCTCCCTGACAAATTTGAGCTGCGAGCGTACATATATAGCACTGATTATTGTTGCTTTTATAATGAATTTATATTATATATATATATATATATATATATATATATATATATATATATATATAGTGACTAGAATCCATGTATACAAATAATTAAATAAGATTATATGTTTATATAAAAAGCAATACAGCAGATTCAACCAGCCAATCAGAAAGTTTCGAAGGCGTTCGTTCGATGACGTCAATTTAGTACGGTTAGCATTGTGGTTAAGACTGTATAATAGTGTAGTATATACATTAAATAAGTTTTTTACTGATGTTAATAATTGAAATGATGAAAATGTATGGTTGAAACGAGTATAAATAGGAGCTGAGACAACATTGAAATCAGATCAGGCATTCTGCCTCGGTTGAAGCAGTCTGTCTGATCTCATTTATTTTATTTTTTTATTTTTTATATTTTATTTATTTTATTATATAAAGTTATATAGAGTTATATAGAGTTATATAGAGTTATATAGAGTTATATAGAGTTATATAGAGTTATATAGAGTTATATAGAGTTATATAGAGTTATATAGAGTTATATAGAGTTATATAGAGTTATATAGAGTTATATAGAGTTATATAGAGTTATATAGAGTTTGCATGTCTGTGGTTTGTGTGTTTGTACGTTGTAATTTTTTTATATTTTAGGTGGGTTCTTTAGCGGTTGCTCATACATACATACATACATACATCATGTTTGTTTGTGTGGTAGTATTTTATGTTCTGTTTTACTCTTTTTTCTCTTTCTTCATGAGTCTTAAGTTAAGTTATTGAAACATAGGTAGGTGAGGTAAAAATTAATTTATTATATAGGTAGGCTAGGGCATAAGGTAATTTAGTTACATAGGTAGGTTAGGGACTTCTATTCTTTTACTCTACTTGGTGCTGTGTTTTTTGTTTTTTGTTTT